TAGATGTTTATCATGTATTTGATTGTATTTATCTGCAGTTAGTTACACGAATTCAGATATGGGATGAAATCGGATAGGGATGAAATCTGGTTTAAGAGTTTTTAAGAGTTTTTAAGAGTTTTAAGAGTTGTAAGAGTTTTTAAGAGTTTTAAGAGTTTTTAAGAGTTTTAGCCAAATGCTTTATAATATAGTATAGATATACTATCTCTCGCTACTAAACAAACGGACTTCACTAACGGATTTTCACTGATAATTAACAATCTGCCAGTAATTCGTTGATTTTGTGATGATTTTTATGTTGTTGTATTATGTATATGAAATAGACCGAAATAAAATAAACTAAAATAATAGGAGATTTGTATGATGATATATTTATATATTTTTGTTGGAAAAATCCAGGATTTCCTTGTACTTTGCTTATACCCAATTATATAGCATCAATAATGGAGACGGTACGTAGGCGGCTCACGCCAGCACCCCCTTCCCCCACCACAATTCCCAAATTACCAATTTACCAATTTACACACGGAATTCAGACGATAAACTCTTCCGTTTCCAACCCAATTTCCATCCAAAAACAACACAACAAACCCCTTTTAGGTTTCACTGTTTGAAGTTGTGTATATGTATTAATTTGGGTTTCATATATGGAGGTTGTTGAGGTGTCGGGTGGTGGTAAACCCATCATCGGTGGTGGCGGCGGCGGCGGTGTTGATAGGGTGAATTCAGAAAGAAATCAGATTCGTGTGAAGAGGAAAACCCTAGAAGCAGTTCTTGATCAATGCCAACGAGCTCTTGAATTGCTTAGCACTACTGGCTGTATTCAAGATGATGAAGGAAGTGGGGAGGAAGTCGTCGATGATGATGGTGATACTACGGAGCCGAGCAGCGGTCGTCGTGAGTCGTCGACGCAGCCACAGGATGGAGAGGCTGATTTGGTAAATTAGGGCTTTATTTTTGCTGAATCGATTTCGATTTGTATCAATTTTGTTAAATCGACGAAGCGATTATATGATTAGGAACTCAAATTGGAGCAACATCGATTTAGGGTATGATTAAGGAAGTGATTAGGAGCTTGGATTTCAGAGGTTTCCAATTGGGATTTCCACTGATTTTGCCCCAATGCCTAGCCTCACGATTGAAGCTCCTGTTAGGATAGACGATCACGTAGTAAATCATATGAAACAAAAAAACAAGCACCTATTTTTTCATTATTTACACGATCACCGTTCTCTTGGGGTGCGCTTGGTATGTTGTACAGGATAACACAGTACAAAAACTTGTTGTCCCAACATTTGTACTCCTACATTTGGTGAGGCAATTAAGGCTTTTTGGTTGGTTTTGCATTAAGTTGTATATGGATCAAGCTGTATAAAATTGGAAAGGTTTTTGTTTGACAAGGTTTTTTCATATATTGAAGGAGCATGTTTTTAATTAGAGGGGTGGGTTTGGAAAAAACTTGACTTTCTGTGTAAAACTCCTCTCTAGAGTCTTACTGAATAAGACGTTTTCTATATCATTAACCACTACCAAGTAGTCATGTATAGCTGACCAAATAAGCTGTGAGTCCTATTAAGTTCAATAAACTGCTAATAAACAGACCCTTAGACTTTGTATGGGAGAAGATGGAGTGGGACAAAAATGCCTATCAGAATAGGTGGAACAAAATCCAGCGAGATGGGATAAACTTCGTAAATTACTAAAATAGCCATGTCAGAGTAAAACCCTAAAACCTTTCGCAATTCTTTCACCGCCTACCTCCCTCGTCTAGTCTTGTGTACCAAGCGCACCCTTAGAAAAGTTGGATGCGGGAAGCTGTGTGTTAGTGTGCTGCCCAAATCAAGCTCTGTATCCAAATATCAAATGGTTCTTGAATATATGAGTTTCGCTTCCATTTACAAAGCGTGATCTTTATGAATTAGGGTATCAAAATTGATTGACGATTTGAGGGAACTTATATTTAATGTATGCCTTATGTCTTAAAGGAAGTATGGATGTCCCTTTGTTTGTTGGCGGAGGTCCTGCATTAGATTTTTTTTGGTCTACAGGGATAAAATATAAGCCTTTAAGGTCGGGGGCGTTGATTAATATGGAGGAAATTGAATTTAGCATATTTTTTTTTTCTCTATTTCTATTCCTATTTGTTTGCCCTCGCTTATTCAATAACCCTTATTGATATTCTAACTTTTCAGTGTTTAGTGTATGTGTTTTTCTCCCTTTCTCTTACTTTTCACTAGCTGAGGGTCTTCACTAAAATAGTCGCTCCACTCTTTAGGGGAGGTCAGGTCTATGCATATGTTCACCCACGATCCCACCTGCGGGTGGGATATACTGGGCTTGTTTGGTTTAAGTTCTATTTCTTTATTAGCTTTATTTTTAGCGGAAGGAAAAATTGTTTGGCCATCGTTCTATTCAGTAAAATAATTTCTGGCCACACTCCCAGTAAAGTTATTTGTTTAGCTGTTGTGCATCATCTTCCATTCACCTTTTGCCTACTAGTCTTATTTTCTGGCCAAAACTAACATTTCCAAACACATTCATCCTTGATAATATTAACGTAACATCATTTTGACAAGGATGAATGGGTCAAATCACTTGGTTTTTTGGCTGGAAAGTAAGACTGGTGGGAAAAAAGTGGTCCAAGCATGATATATGGTGGTGAAATAGCTTTTATACTATTTATTGCCCTAAACTTGTGTACTCGAATGTACATCCGCCAAACAAATATTTCTGGTGTTTGTGAAGTGTAAATTGTCAATAGGCATATAGTTCATCTTGTTAGGATGAACACCTTCACATACATGGTGTGTTTGGTACACGGAACAAGAGAGGACAGAACAAAAACATGTTGTCCCTTTGACAGGACATTAGATTAGGACTGGGCAGGACCAAATGGGATAAAAACACCAAAATAGGTAACAAAAATTAGGGAGATGTGACAAGATTGGTAAATTACTTAACTACCCATGTCAGATTGAAACCCTAAAACTTTCCGCATTTCTTTCCCCAACATACCTCACTCTCACCCGTCAAGTCCTGTCCTGTCAAATTCCATCCTATATGCGTACCAAGCCCATCCACACTGAACATTAGTTTCAAGAAACAAAAAATCAAACTGATAGTATCTACAAGGTTCAACAATTCGCCTTTATTTTCTAGCATTCTAATTATATGATTCATGAAAAGGAAGTCTGTCCCTGAAGAAAAAATAGATGGTAAATTGATAAAGATATAAATACGTTATCCTAAATGTCTGTCTGTCATAACAGTTTCTTACAAACCCTGGGTGAAATTGTAAACCGGTTTATGGTTCAAACTAGGCTCTAATCCCACATGTTTGTTGGCTGCGTCTGCTAGTTGTATACTTGTATTTCTTAGTCATACTTTTCACAAGCCAACGGTCTTCTAGAGAACATCGCTCTACTCTTTGGGGTAAAGGTCAGTCTGCATACATCTTACCTCCCCGACCCTACCATCACTTTAGGTGAGATATACTGGGTTCGTTTGATTTGGTTGGTTTAGTTGTATACTTGTATTCAACTTGTGAAAAGAATGCCGAATTATTTTCTTGTCCACCAGCTCATACGGGGCTAATATATTCTGAAATTCTCTCTGTTGTGTAGCTATGCAGTCTACTCAAGTCAAGAGTTGAATGTCCGGATTTTCTTGAAAAACTAGAGAGTGCACAGGTTACAGTTCCGCAGAATTTAGCTGGTATGTATCGGAATCTCTTCCCAACTCGAAACTCTCTCGGTCATGTGAAAATTGCACGTTTGTCAAATGTTCAAAATTGCGTAAGATAAGAATCTTATGGACCTAACAGCATCATCAATGTTTTTGTAGTTCTATGGGATAAAGGGAGTAAAAGACAACTTGGTTCTTTTTATGCATCTTTGAACTCGAGTTTTGACAATTCATTCTGCATAACAAGATAATGTAGTAAACAACATGTATTACTATTAACTCAATTAAACATAATGATAGTGGTTTCAATGATGATTACTAACAACTCTTTCAAACATATTTTAGAAGAAAATAGTTCTTGGGACATGGTCAGTGAAAACGATTTATGGGAAGGAGGAAACGTCGTGTCGGATGAAGATTATGTTTTAGTTAGGCAAGATGATATTGTGGATGGAATTGCATGCTTCATGGCTGCATATCTGCTTTCCCTTAAAGAAACTAAGGTATGCATCTTCTCATATATATATATATATCATCTATTTAATTCTTCGATGGCCATCTCAAATGGAAAATTAAGGCTAGGCCTCGGGGCTGCTCTCTGTAGGTCGCCAATTTGAGTCTCTTAAGGGTTACCTGGGACTTTCCTGGTTGTTATTGTTAGGGCCCATGGGGTTAGTCGAGGTAGTATACCATAATTGTTGAAAATTGTGATGTTCTTTTGTTGTGGTCGGGGACCACTTTTTCAATAGGAACTGGGGCCCGCCCACAATGCGACACATGGCCTATTCATCATGAATATGGACGTGTTATTCATATCAGATATTCATCATGAATGTGTAATCAAGCCCTGTATTTTCAAATAAATAGGATAATCTTGTAGTTAATTAATCGTGTTCCTTTTTTTTTCTTCAGGATTTGAGTCCGAAACAGCTTCAGGACGGTGAGTATAGCTAGCTGTATGCATTATGAATATCATTGCAACAACTTCAAAAATTGTATCTCTTCATATGCATCATGTGAATGTCTTTTATGTGTTATATGAATTCTTTTTCTTTTTGTAGCCCTTAGCAAGACATTCTCCATGAAAAAGAAAAAGGGAAAGCTTCGAAAGGCATGGGATGGAAGCAAAGTTATCTATAACGTTGCTTCTTGGGGTGCAACAGCAATCGGGTACATAACCTGTTTTATTCGGCTTCTTGATATTTTTGGGCCCCGTTGTCTCTATGAAGAATTCGATAATTTCTAATTTGGGAGGGTGAAGTCCCATATTGGCTAGACACTATCCATCAAACTTGTGTGTGTGTGTGTGTATGTATGCATATATGTATATATGTATATGTTGTAGTCTCCCCTCTTTCTATGAGGGCCTTCTAGAGAGAGATTCAAACGGGGTCATGAGATAATCCCATGAATTTCAATTATGGCCATGTTTAGGGTCGACAATGGTTAGGATAAGGAGGTTATTCCGTTATCCTATCCATTTAAAATAGTGAGTAACGAGACGGATAACAGGTAATGAAAGGGGTAATGGATAAATGGAAGGGATATTGCTAAACGTCATACATATAAATAAAATATAAATTTGTGAACATTGTAATTATTCTACGTCTAATTTCCAGTAAATGTTGTAATGTAATTTTAATGAAATAAATTTGCAATTGGATTAGGTTTCGGAGGGATTTGGAATTCCATTCCAGTACAATCTCATATTTAGTTTAAAGGATTTTTTAGATTTGAAATCCCGGGATTCCATTGAAATCCAACAAACATAGCATTTTGAAATCTCACGGGGTGGTTGGTATTTCATGGGATTTCGTAGGATTTGTATGTAATAAGTGTTTTTATAAATTATTTATAAAAATGGAATTCAATTCCATTCCAAATCCTACAAACCAAACTCACCAAAGATTCCGAATCCTTCTATTAAATCCAAATCCCTCAAAACCAATGCATCAAACCAAATATGCCCCTTAAGTTTCTTATATAGAATTGTTTGTTGTCTTCTTTTTTCAGGATCTACCAAAATCCTGCTATTCTAAGGGTCGCATCCGCGGCATTCTGGACTTCATGCAATGTGATATCGAAGCTTTTCTAAAGGAGCTCCGTTCATAACTACAAGAAGTGCAACATGGTGTGCTTAACGTGTCTTTCGATTGCTCTAACCTTGTTTAGTCTGTAAGTATTATGAAAAGCTTTCGTTCCTAGCGTTGTATATAATTCATTTGCGATACTGTAGTTGCTTGGTCAGGCTCGTTCTTTTATGATTGGAAATCGTTATTCGTTTGTTCAAATCCGGGCCTTAAAATGTTTCGTTCTACTCATGTCATTACTCTGTCGTTCCAAATAGGGGTGTAAACGAGCCGAATCGAGTCGAGTAGCATGTTATTCAAGTTCGGCTTGAAAAATTAATATTAGGCTTGAGCTCGACTCGAGCTCGATTAACTTTTTCAAAGTCGGGCTCGAGTTCGAATTCAAATATTTTTTTTTTTCAAATGTTTGAGCTCGAGCTCGATGCTCGTTTATGAGCTCAAACTCAAGATCGATTAAATCGTTTATTTGCTTTAGATGATTTTTATATCCTGATTAATGGCTCGACTCTATTTGTAAAGTTTAATCGAGCTTTCGTATGGGTTGAGTCGAACATTGGAGTTATGGAGCTTGATTCGTTAAGTTAAGCGAACTTTTTTTTGTGTGCTCCTGGCTCAAGCTCGAAATTTATTAAGCTCGAAATCAAGATAAAGGTGCAATAATTACTCGTTAGAAGCTCGACTTATTTACATCCCTAGTTCCAAAAGTGAAGAAGCACACATTTTTAGAACGTGTAATAATTACAATTTTTTGATTAACTAAATGTCAATATACTCTAGAGAATAATGAATTTCTCAATCTCATAACTAAGGGTAAATCGTAAAATAGACACTTACTTTTTTAAACGTTTATTTTGATACAAATTTACTTTTTTAAACGTTTATTTTGATACAAATTAAAATAAAAATGTAGAGAAAATGGAATAATATCTCTATGGAACTAGTTAAACACAAATGGAATATTCTCTCTGTGGAACTAATTAAACATACAAACCACGAGCTTATTCGCATGTTCAGCACCTAACGAAGATTAGTGCATAAATTAATCTTTCGGTAATTGATCATTTAAAAACGTTGTATCTAAAAAAACCGATTGGTTTACATCCCTTATCATTGTATGAACAACTATCTCTCAAGCACAGGTTTAGGTTAGTTAACCCCACTTTAGCTGATCAAATTTCAAATGGTCTTTATCTGGATTTGACTTCTAACCGATTTTTATTACCTGTCTTTATCTGCGATTCAACTTTTAACCGATTTTCGGGTTTTCATGTGATCATGTCTACCTATCCGAACACATGGTTTCCATGTTTTCTTTATGTAATCTTGGCATATAGTTAAAGGGTTGAGTATTGGTCAGAAAGAAAGTTATGTAAGAAGAGATATCCATCGTTCGATCAATCCTAATTGAATGTCGATACTAACGAGGTTTATCGAGATGCACCGCATGAATTCCCTTTTAAAGCGTAATCCATGGATTGTAATGAGATTAAAAATGATCAGGAGTTCATTTTTTCTCTTAACTCTTACTCTCACACGATCTTTTAGATTTGTACGTTTTCCACCTGAAGTTTTAACTCATTTTGCCACATACACGAATTTTAATGACTAAATTAACTTAAATGCAGGAAATAAAATCGGAATGAGAGATCTTTTACAATTCCAACCATTAGTATAAACTAATTAATTGAGATATTTATAGAAATGATAAGACTTTATTTATTTTGATTTGGATATTTATGTAATATTATCAAAGTTCGTTTATTATAATCGACATTTTATAATAAAAAATAATTAAAATATTCATTGAATCAGATATTCAATAAACTAAATAAACAATTGAGACTAATTTATATAGTTTATAATAATAGTTGAGTTTAGAAATGAAACTAATAAGATTGGAGATGATGCATCTCCTTAAAATGTGCAACAGTTCTTGGTATCCATTTCAAATTTAATAATTTTCATTAATGATAATTGATTAAAATAGCTTTTTTTAATTTATGAAGGGTTGAAGTATAATCAGGTATAAAGAAGTGTTGAAATTAATTTACAGATTTAGTTCTTACATCAACTTATTTTTTTATCCTTTGACTATTTTGTAAATTGCAGACCTAGTTACATTTTGATGATTTAAGAAGAGAAATGGCTAAACGATGAAACCTAACATATTTGAAAATGAGTGTTTTAATTAATTTTCTTATAAAAAATTATTAATTTAATTTCTTTTATTTATATTAAAACGATTTTTATTTTCATTGAATAAAAAAAACATGTAGAGTGACGTGAAAGGAGTAATGACTAACGAAGGAGGAATTCAAAGAAAAACCGTTGGAAGAAAAAAAATGGGTGGGAAATGCGACAAGTAAACGCGTTTTTCTCTCTCAAAGAATCGAATCATCAAGATCCGAAATGAAACCCTAAATTCTCGGAACAAAAATGATTGAGTGGTTGAAACAGCTGCGAATTGCCTTCGGTACTTCCTTTCTTTGGCTTGTCTGCTTGATTTACTTCACTCAGGTATACTTTGATCCATATCATCCAAGATCCGCTAGCCATCTCATATTTATTTTTCGGTTTTGATTGCGCTTGATGATGATACATAGACGATCGAATTAACGGGTTATGGTAGTTTTGGGGATCAAGCTATGCGATTAGCTGTTTTGATGTTTATGGTTGTTTGTTTCAGATTCGAACGTCGTAGACAAGATTGGTTTCCATTTATTGATGTTTGAATGGTGGAATTTCAAATTTTAGGATGTCAATTGCTTCATGTTTATATGTGAAGTTATTGAATGATTAATACGAATGTATATGATATATGTTTCATAGGCCTGTGAACCTTTCATTCCATTGAAAAATGCTGCTTTTTTCATTTTAGAATGTTCTCATGAAAATTACAAAAAAAAAAAAAAAAATTCGAAGGATGTTTCCAAGTTAGAATAACCAATTTGCCAATTATCATCGATACAACTTAATTGGTGGTATTGATTTGGGTCTATAAGATCTCTTTATTTTGTGTAATGAATAGGGGTGTGCATAAAATTATTCAATCCAGTTAGAACAGGATGATCTAATTAAAAGCGACCAACTATGATTGGATATTCAATTGTCATTGGATCAGATCGGATACAAAATTTCTAACATCCAAATTGAATCAGTTAGATCTTGGATGACGGTCCGGCATCCAAGAAAACTGAAACGATCCAATTCATTTACTATTCGATGTCCAATTATTAAATATATTTTAACAATATTTTACGATATTGTTTTTAGTTGATGTTTTTATGTGGTGTTTTAAGAAATTAGGAAAATATATGAATAATTGGTTGAAAATTAGATTGAAACTATTGGGTGGACTCAATCTGATTCATTGGATTGATGTTAACCGGATTGGATCGGATGACAAAATCCAACATCCAGTGGATGGTTTGATCGGATTGGCTCCAACTAAATCCGTTGGATTTCAACCAATGACGACCTAATTGAAGGGCATTGTAAGACAAAACACTCTGCTTTAACTATATGTCTAATCAAATATCACAATTTTTAATTGAGGTGGAGGTTGTAGTTCATAGGATCATTCTCACAAGCTTACTACTAAAACTCACATATAACCACCGTAAAGTGCGGATTCTATTTTTGCGGAATGGAGTACTAGAAAACCTCAGATGAACAAGTAGTCAAATATGTAGAGATGGTAGTAAGGGTTAGTTAGGAGAATAATCTTCTTACAAATTCTTTTTAAATGCATGATCTTTTGATAGATTTAAGAACGTTTCTGCCTAACAGAAGAACACGTTTTTCTAACTCAAGTGCGCCTCAAAATCTGTCACATCCGTCAGAAAGTTATTCTCCTAAGTAACCCATGGTAGTAATATGCTAGAGAAGGGTCCATTCTTCCATGTTTCATATTGCTACAATACACACAATTCTTTTTTCCTCCCTTCACCCTGATGGACTTCATTTGATCACTTAGAATGATTTATAATATGCCCATCAATCGGGGTCCTCTAAAACCGGAAAATGGATATTAAATTCCTAAGTTTGTATGCTAGAAGTTTTGTGGATGATTTTTGGCCACGATATGGTTGTATATTCTGTTGTCTTCTTGTTATTTGAACTATTTGTTTTCTTGTTACTAACAGGTGGAAAATTTCGTTTCGATATTTTATTTTGTTAGGGTTTTAGATCGTTCGTATGGACAGCGGTTTCCTATCAGCTGAAAGACAGACTAAAACTTTCGCCCTCGGCTTCTCAGTTTGTGACTTCAATAGCGTTTTTCCCATGGAGCATAAAACCAATATACGGGTACTGATCAAACTGTTATGATGTAAAAATCCTTTTTCCGCTCTAGTGGCGGGTTTCTCTTTTCATTAAGTAGCCCCTCATTCACCTCGTACACTGAGTCAAGCAACTTCTCCTTTTCTGTCATGAAGAGGAAGTGAGATGATGCCAATGCGGCTGGAATTTATGTTAATGAATTTGGAAATGTAATGAATTGTTTTTCAAACAATAAGCCCCTTTCTGGTTTCTTGAGCTTGTTACGACAATGCCTTCTTTTTTCTATAATCATTTGCAATTCTCTGTTACATGGAAATTTGATAGAAAAAGAAGATTTCTTGTTGAATTTTCTAGTGAGCCATTTTTATTGTTGTCTATTAAATTATCATGAGTGGCAAGCTGACCCATAAAACGGGTTCTTTGGTTAAATGGCCTTCTAACCGTCTTTATTTATTTATTTAAAATCCATGGCCTTCTAATAAGGTTTGAGAATGTCAATGCTTATGACAAGAACGCCACTTTTATACACAAGAACCCCTAGAAACATGTCAGGAAGTCATGGATCTAAAAAGCACCTGTTAGGAGGTCATTTAGCTATATAGCTCCCCATAAAACCTCTACACAGCTAAAACTTCAATAGGAACTACAAAGTAATTGTAGCTTAATAAAGGCTTATAAGAATATTAGAGTTTAAAAGCACAATCGATATATAATGGAATGTCAAACAATCCTACATAAGTTCTTGGTCAGGCCAAAGGGCAATCCGCAAAATCAAACCTATGCTCTTGCTTGGTTTAAAAATGCGCGCATAATGCGCTCTGATGCGTGATGCGCTGGAGGTAACACATTAGATGGGCTGATGCGAAGCGATTCCGTGATGCGTTCGCATCACCTACGCATCACACGATGCTTGCATCACCTATGCATCAGCGCATCCTGTATGTTTCATGTTTGGGCTCCCTTTTTCAGTTTTTAGTTGGGCTTTTTAGTTGATTAAAATAGAACGTGAGACTGAATGGTGACCTAATAGAAGAAGCCGACAACCACTAATAGAAGAAGCAGAAGTCGCACTCGCATATCAATCAGATTAAAAAAGAAATAGAACGTGAGTTGTTGTCGTACAGCCAAAAAAAAAAAGAGAAAGTAATGAGTGGTTGATGGGGAGGATGGACAATGATGATGAAGATGATGATTTGGTGTTTATTGATGATGATCTTACGTGGGATGACGTGGGTAGAGCTTCCGGGACGTATGAGACTTCTCATTTCACTAGAGCATCAAGAGGGAGCCGGAGAGTAAATGATGATGGGTCGGGTCCATCAAGAACTAGAAGTGCTAGAGGAAAAGGACATGCTCTTTAGGATGAAGATGATGAAGTTGAGGTGGAAGCAAATATTGGAGGGTTTGATAATGATGAGGATGAACCCGTGTTGGGGTTTGATGATGCTGATCTTGGGGAGTATTAGTTGGTCACTTGGTCATTTAGTTTAGGGATTGGAAACTATTAGATATTTACTTGTGTTCTTCATGGTGGTAGTTTGTGTGTTCTGTTATTCCGATTCACGAACTTTTTAAGATTCTAATGCCACTTTTTGAACTACTTTATGTTATAAATGAATTATTTTGATAGGTAACTATTTTTAAGGTAGAAATTGATATGTAGAATTAATTTATAAGTATTTTTGAATACCTGGCGCATCACGTGCGTGATGCGAGCGCATCAGTATCACGCATCGGCTTCCGGGACCCTTACCGCCTCGGACAACTAAAACAACTAAAACAATGGTGGGAAATTATTGGTGGCCCACTACCAAAGGCTTCTTAAGAGCTCATTGGTCACAATCAGAGCGGATTTGTGAAGGGATATTACATGATCCCTTGCTGATCCCCTCTGCAGACTGAATAGAATTTCAACCATCATCAGAGATCACCAAAAATAACCAATGAGATGGTTATAAAATGGCTGTGCATATGGACATAATTTGAAATCAATATGCAAGTTTATGAAGGCTGATTATCTTTGAACTTTGATTGGTCAATTGGGGGATTAACTTCCATTTTTTGGGTTTGGCCTATTGATGTATTTATTTGTGTGCACTTTTGGATGCAGAATTTTGTCAGATTGTATCCCCATCAAAGGAAGGAAAAGGATTCCTTATTTAGTCATTGCAACGCTTCTCTCGCTCTTTCCATGGGTGATTCTAGGTCTGCAGGAATCCATAAGAAATTCCAGAGATCAACTCATGATCTTCTTATTATTGCAGAATCTGGGTTCTGCAATGGCAGATGTCGTCATTGATGCGATGATTGCTGAAGCAGCAAGACTTGAGAAGTATGTCTATCCATTCAGTCTCCTGTTTGTCTTCTTTTTGTTGTATTTCTTTCTTCTTAGATTCCTTTTCTCAGAAGAATGATGTATACTTTGACTTTGAGGTCAAAAAATTGATATGGATTGTTTAATTTTCATAATATTTTAATAGTTAACGGGTGAGATCCATTCACTTTGAGTTGGACCGCTCAAAAAGCAGCTGCTTTTTTCACTTCTTTTCTTTGAACTTTGTGTTGGGCTATTTTACTACGTGTTGGGTTTATGTAATTGTTTATATGATTGATATTTGTCGGTTAAAGTTTCTTAATTTTCATCATTTCCCCAATTTACTCTTGATCAGGGCTAAATTTGCTGGCGACCTGCAGTCAGTATCATGGATGACAATGGCTCTTGGGGGAATGTGTGGGAGTTTGTTAGGAGGACATGCACTAAGTAACTTCCCGATGGAAAACATATTTCTGCTTTTTGCTGTTTTGCCAACGGTACAGCTATTGTCGTGTGCTTTTGTGAAGGAGAGTCCTGTATGCAGTAAGCCTTCATCAGAAGTTTCTACCTCCAATGGCGATGATGGACCTAATGGAAATATATCAGATGAAGATGAATTCTCAACTGGCATGCCCAAAACCAAAACTTTGAGGAGAAAGAAAGGATCTAAGAAGAAAAAGAAGATAACGATCAATAGAAACAATGATAAGATGCCTGAAAAAGATGGATCTTTCCCGTCACAATGGTTTCGGTCTTTAAGAGTCGCTGGTTATACTTTGTTTAAGGCTTTCCGACAGCCAATTATTCTGAGGTATGAAATGATGGATTATCTTTACAATATCTTATACTCCGACCATCCCAAAATAAACGTGACATTTGACTAGGTAAGTAGTTTAACAACCCAAGAATCATATGGACCAAAATGGATGCTATTATTATCTTGTGATCTAATAATGGGGAAATAGGGCCCTTGGGCTTGTAGCTCAGTTGGCAAAGGGGCGGAGCGACTTTGATCAAATACACAACTGGTTCAAGTTTGAATCTTGCGGAGATGAGCTTGAACCCCTTTGCTAGCCTCAAACGCCGAGGGAGCTCTGAAATGCCTCTTCACATGTGGTTCCTAGGGGGCGAGTGAGCTCAGTTGGCAAAGAAGAGAAGCGACTTTGCTCAACAGGTTCAAGTTCGAATCCTGTAGAGATGGGCTTGAACCTCTCTGCTAGCCTCAGCTGCCAAGTCGGCTCTGAAATGCCTCCTCACATGTGGTTCCTAGGGGGTGGGTTCCGTGCGGGGCCGTTCAAGGTTGGTGGTAATCAACCTTTTTGCTCAAATAAGGGAAAATAGGTCATTTTAATAAGAAAATTTCCAAGAAGAAAAAGATATTGTTGTGAATTTTTCATTAGATAGGGGAAGTATGCATCTTTACTTCACTTCATCATTGATGGTTACAAATTGCTTATAAATGATTAGAATTTGATTTAGCTGATGACATATATCCCTTGTTTCGCATGAAAATTGCAACTTTTGACTCGGCATGATGTTCAATGAAATGCTTGAATATTAATTGTCTCGAACACACTTCAATCACGCAAATTGGGATCCTTGTGATAACAAAATTTCAATATTTGTTTTGGTATTCATGGAATCAGCCGCTCCCCACCCCTCCTAGACCCTGCTTTAGAGCGGGATATACTGAGTTTGTTTGGTTTGGTTAGGTTATTTTGTTAGTGTTGACTTTTGATTTGATTTGACCCCGAGACCAGACCAATGGCTTGGTTTTTCCTAGCACAGGTGACAATCCCAAACCTTTCAACAGTCATGTTCTACTACCAAACAGAAGTCCTAAACTTGGAAGCATCGTTTCTGGGCACAGCACGTGTTATCGGATGGACAGGCCTAATGCTTGGAACTTTCATTTACAATCGTTTTTTAAAGAAGATGAGGTTACGAAGAATTCTCATGTAAGATTTTGTTAGAATCACTGTCAAACAACCAAGCTTAAGAAGTTGCTAATTTTGGTCATCAGTTCTAATCGTGAAATTATATATCTGTGCAGGTTTGCCCATGTTGCCCTGTCTTTGCTAACACTTCTAGATGTAGTCTTGGTTACTAGATTGAATGTTTCACTAGGCATATCAGATCAGACAATGGTGTTGTTCGGGTCAGCTCTCTCGGATGCGGTCAATCAGTTCAAGTAAGCACTTCTTTACTTTCCGCTGCTACTATTTTTTTTCTTTGAACGGTTTTTCTGGCTAGGTAGATCGGAGGAAACAAAGAAATCGAACACTGTTGATTAATTTGCCTACGTTCATGGGATTTGCTAGGATTTTATTACTCCCTCCGTTTCAATATGGATGTTTACAATGAAAAAGGCATACGGTTTCAGAATTGTGTAATTATTACACCTTTTACTTAATAAATGACAATTTTACCCTTAATAATAAAGAGAGTAATGGTTTTCATTTCATAATTAAGGGTAGAATACTGGGTATGAGTGGTTTTGCTTTGGTTTAATCAGGCTCATTATGACCCACTTAGTCCTATTATGAACTACTTAGACTCGTTAAGGAGAATATGATCCATTATACTCACTTAGACCAAAATGACTCATTAACGAGCCATTAAGGATCACTAAGACCTGTTATAAGTCAAATAGAGGAAGCATAACCAAGTCAAGATGATACGGATCAACTCCTTTTTTTGCGCCAAGGATCTTACTATTTCTGAAGGTACAACCATGGGTGTTTGGGCCAGCTTATGTGCACTTCGGCTAATCCCATGGGGTCCTGAAGATAACAGTTGGAAAATCCCCTTGACCCTGAAGATAAAATGTCTACGTTTGTGACAGTTTTAAACATGTTTTTCTTTTTACTAACTTCATTATTGACTTGCAGATTCATGCCTTTCTTGATCCTATCAGGACATCTATGCCCACCTGGAATTGAAGGGACTTTATTCGCTCTCTTTATGTCGATAAATAACTTGGGGTCCACAATCGGGTCGTTTGTCGGTGCAAGTTTGGCTTCGATTTTGAACATCTCTTCAGGCTCGTTTGATAACCTTAGTTACGGGATCGTTATTCAAGTCATCTGCACGTTTATGCCGGTTGGTTTCCTGTTTTTGATACCAAAGGAAGCTACAGGGATATCGGCATAGATATAAAGGATTCTTGCGATTTTGGTGGGATCTTTTTAAGGGTTCGGTTGAGGTGTAAGCAGAATATTGACCCGAGTATAGTTTTTCTTAGATTTTGAATTGATAAAAAGATCGAAATGGACCATTTAATCGATGGTTAACGAAAGACAGATGCATATTAAAATGCCTTTGTCCCTTTGATCATATTTTGTTTGGTAAAGTAATTATTATAGAGCTCTTGAGAACTCAATAAACCGACCGTTGACGAAATAATTGGTTTCCATGTTTTAAAAACATTTACGGTTCTTAGTACTTCAAAATAAATTACATTCGACTTTTAACAAAAAGCTTCATTTTATATAAATAATTAAATATTAAAATATTTATTATGTAGAGAATATTAGAGCTAAAAAATTAAAATCAAGAAAAATCTGTTTCAACAGCTAGTAATGGGAGGGATCAAGTCTAATTGTTTTTACAAACAACGATGATAATCTTGTAATTTTAAAACTACAAAGACAAAAAATATAATCTATATATATATATATATATATATATATATATATTAAAGAAGAAACCAAACATAATGAGGTGGCACCTTCTAATGCTTAGAACTTTTCCTATCTTTTTTCTCAATTTTTTATTTTTTTAAATGTTGAATATATTAAAGACTTTTCTACCCTTATATGAAGAATGTATAGTTCATAATTAATTGGGGTTTTTTATAATTTTGTATACCCAAGTTTAACCTCCAACTCTTGATTTGCTCTTTCATTTAATTTCTTTTATTTCTTAATGAAATTTGTTTTTCAAAGTTTCAATAATAACAAAATAAAATCCTACAATTCTTTTAATGAAGGATGAAGAAGGTGAGAGTTGAAGAAAATCTATATATATATATATATACTAGGTGTGTACCCGCGCAATGCGGCGGAATGTAAATTGATGAGAAAAATTTACCACAACTTAGGAGCCGTTTACCAAACACTTACCCGGGTAAGCACTTATCAAATCACATTACCTCATTGGATGAATATGGTAAGGACTAAGAATCTTACTCGGTAAGAGCGAGACAAGAACCATGAGTCTTACCCGGTAAATGAGGACGACGACTCTTACCATAATAAGTGCTTACTGGGTGAATTGTTGCATATAATATAGTTTTGTTGGACTAAAATATTATCCAGTAAGTAAAGTGTTAAATTTTACCAATACGAACTTACCGGATAAGTGTTTGGTAAACAATCCCTAAAATGTATACCACAGTTACTGAACATATATATGAATGAGTTATATAGAAATGTGAATAGATTAAAAAAATGTATATATGAGTAGCGTACGTGATAGTGTAATTGTCTAGTATATATATTAATATAAATTCAACAATCATATTAAATCCAAGAAATAAATTGATATCGGGTTCATCGAGTTGAGTTGGGTTCAAATAATAGTAACCAAATACCTACGGTTTGAAAATTTTACAACTCGATTAGACATCGGGTTGCTTTGGGTTGAGTTATTTCGCATTGGGTTAGGTTGGGTTGATCGGATTGGTCGGGTTTTTGACCACCCCTATTAATTATACTGATGTTGAACGGTATGTGTTTGGTAGATGGTTTGAAATTATATTCCTCGTCTTTTCTGGGATTTGGTACATACAAACACCAAAACAGATGAACGATTTCCTGCAAATCCATATCCATACTCTGATACATAAATTGCAAAAATTCAAAATTAGTCTACACAAGACAAAACTCTCATGGTTGCAGCTTTCTCGTCTTCGTCGGCCAACGCTGTTTGTAGTGATCGAAAACCGACCCATAAGACTGTTTAGAATTGAGGTATTTGTTTAGCTTCAGCGCGACAGAGACACGGATATTTCTACCATCAACATTCTGCACAAGAAATTATAACACGAAAGATTAAAGAAAAACAAGATTCGAAAGGGAAATCAAAGGTGGAGGAGGTTATGAAATGTAGCTACTTACAGGGCCATCCATTGACTCGATTGCACTATTGACCTCATTGGCAGAACTGTAAGTTAAGAAACCTAAACCCTTTGATCGACCACTATCCCTATCATAAATCACTCTAGCTTCCAAAACATTTCCTTGATCCTGAAACAAGGTTTCAAGAGCAAGATTGTCGACACTCCATGCAAGGTTTCCAACCTAAACCTTATTCGTGTTGTCATAGCTTCTTCCCTCTCCACCACCACCAAAGCCGCCATGACCTCCTTCTCTTGAAGTCCCTCCGAAAGAAGACTCTCCTCTGCTTGGAGGTGGCCCTGAATATACCCTCAGTTGTCTTCCATCGAGTTCCTGCAATTTCCATACATTCTTGCCTAAAACTAAAATGTCTAACAGAAGAAACACATAATAATAGCTCCAGAGAGATGAAAATTCAAACAGCTGTTGTTAGGAATGCTATTATATCTTGTAATAAAGAAACCCCATCAAAAAACTTACATAGCCATTGAACTGGCGAGTAGCCGCCTCATGACATAGTGACGAAGCCAAAACCCCTGCTTCTTCCGCTAATTTTGTCATATACAACCTGCAGCAATCACAAGTATGGTTACTTATCTCATTGTTTTCATCGTACATTCAAAAAAAGGGGCAAATAGCTATTCACCCATAAATAATACAGATTTGCAAGAATATGAGGGATATTTTGGACTAAGAAAGTAAGTATAGCTAAAAGCATAGAAAATAAAACTTCCAAATTAGGTTCCTTACCCGGTAACGGTAAGTAAGGACGACGACTCTTACACGGTAAGAGCTTACTGAGTAAATTGTTGTATACTATGTCGTTTTTTTGGACTAAAATCTTACCCGGTAAGTACATAATAGTGTTAAATCTTACCGGGTAAGTGTTTGATAAACGGCCCTTAAGTGTGATCCAGATTAGACCAGTGGAAGAAGTTCTCATTCACTGGATCTATTCAAATAGCTTAGCATCATTAACACCAAAATCAAAATGAGGCATGCATAAATTTTATTATATTAGTCACTTATACTCTTTCCAAGAAAGGTCAAATGTGGAGAAGAACAGTTTCTTTCCAAAATCTTCATTTTCTTTATAAAATGGTAATTTTATTTTGAACATGCTCTAATAGAGAGATTGACGACAATCCGTTTTAGTTGGTTTTTCATTGTAAAATAAACATCGTTCTTGTGAATGTGCCAAAAAATATAAATGCATTTTCTCTTAATGTTGCAATTTTCATGCGACGGGTAATACCTTTGATGGTGAAAAGGCCGGAAAGGATGCCCCAATGAAGAAGCCGAAAAGAATACCAACTGTGATGGTTACAGCAAGCTTCGTACACTCGTTTGAATGTATAAGCCCAATGACATATTAGTGAAATGCGAGGATAGAGAATATTAGACAGAAAAAGTTCAGACAAAAATCAACATTGATCAAAAGCATAAAGAAACGATAAGAAACTATGATCATTGGATTCGTTTTGCAGTGTACAAAATAATAAAATTAGAAGCTATTGAAATCTACAAAATGGTGAACATCCATGCTAGCCATGAGAATAAGTTTGTAAGCCACTCAGGGACATTAGGGAAAGCAGCAAATGAAGATCCTACAGTGTCAACCTAATTTATGTAAAGTGGGATTCAAACCCACAATGTGCTAGCATTTTGATCTTCTAAAAGCTATTAACAATTACTACACAAGGTAAAAGCTATTAACAATTATTACACAAGGTTCTCACATAGTCCAATTGGGTGGTCGTCTTATAACCATTTGGTGCAAAATTTAGTAAATATTGCTTACCTGGACTTTGGATGCAGTAGTTTTTTTTTCGAGAAACCACTGTCCATTCCATATTCTGCAAAGAAACTGGACGACTTAGGAGGCGCAACATGACTAAGTGTATTCATGCCTCCAGGACCCGTCTCCACAGCTTGGGAACTATCWACATACTCGAAGCGAGAGATGTGAGGTGTTGTAGTWGATGATGATATGGTACTTGCTGAGGTGGACACTTGTACAACTGGTTCTTCAGGCTTTTGATCATACAGGCTTTCACTTGTCTGCATAAATTTATAAAATTATAGATATGTATAGATGGTGAATATGAAACTAAAATACCAAAATAAATTTATGAAAATAAAAATACTACTGATTTTACTTGAATATGATTGTTGACATGATAGTAGGATTTACCTTGGTGTTAAGCTTTCTTGCACCAAGCCCCCCAGTCTTTCCAGTCTTTTTTCCACCAATGTAAATGTGCATATAAATATGTGAAATAGTATTAAAAACAGAATATGGCTACTGTAGAACTTATTAGACTTAACTATGACTCTTTCATTCAAATAAGGTGCATCTACAAATTTCAGCCTTTCAATGGATATAAGCACATATAAAGTTGCCAGTATGTGGATTTATTCTTGTTCTTTAGAGTTGTTATATTGATTTATTATGTACATGACATGGTAGCTGGTGCAAAATAGAATAGTTTGTAGATGCAGGAAACAAAGTTTAAGCATATAGACAGAAGTCATATTCCTCACCATAATTGGTTGTATTTGATATTTCTTCATCTCTCTAAATAAAGAAAATGCCAAGTTCAATTCCCTCTGTTTTACACAAACCTGTAGATGAAATCACTTGTAGTCAGAATCAGATGAAATCACTTGCAGTAGTGGCTTGTTGTTTCTTTATTTCTTTTTCCACATTTCCTTCATTTTCATAGGTGGTAGGACCAAAAAGAGTTTTAGCCAAAATAGGAGAGGTGCATGGTCGGTCGTTACCTAATGAAATATGATCTTTATGACTCTTTCGTTGAAATTACATATAGTTCCTGTTTGTTGCTACTAAAATGCACAAGCAAGGTCTCCAATGAAACAAGAAACATATACATGTTTAGACAAAGCCATAACCATCTTTTACTACTATAACTATGTTGCTCTCTACGTCCTATTCTAAATATAAAACAAAAATGCTAAAGATTGTTGAGATTCTTCAACATAAATCCTAGGGTTGTTAACGCAGAATAACACAATTAATCACTACAGTACTTGAGATTAAGGGAGATTCAGCACAATTAATCTCTGTAAGATTGGAAAAAAACACAAGAACATACCTAAAAATATTTCAATCAAAGAATAACAGAAGAACATACCTAAAAAACAGAAGCCGATTGGAAGCGATTGAGGACGAAGGCGATTGTGAAGCGAGTGATGAGGAACGATTCRGCCAACGACGAAGGCGATTGTGAAGCGGGTGATGAGGAACGATTCGGCCGACGACGATGGCGATTGTGAAGCGAGTGATGAGGAACGATTCGGCCGACGACGAAGGCGATTGTGAAGCGAGTGATGAGGAACGATTCGGCCAACGACGAAGGCGATTGTGAAGCGAGTGATGAGGAACGATTCGGCCCGATGGACGACTCTTAAATCTTAAAGGGAACATCTTGGGGAGGGAAGCGTCGTCTCGGGAGGTGGTAAGGGAGGAGTGTTCTTGGGGCAAGGAGCCGGGTAAATTGAAAATTGAAGAGACATATATTGGGGGAAAATTGAAGAGACATATATTGGGGGAAAAATTGAAGAGACATATATTGAGGGAAGGGAAGGGAGGCGTGTAAAATAGGTTTAAGGGCATTTTCGGTATTTCAAAATTTAAGACTTTAAGACTTTGATGGAATTTGCTTAATAAGGTAGTATAGATATATATATATATATATATATATATATATATATATATATATTAAAGAAGAAACCAAGCATAATGAGGTGGCACCTTCTAATGCTTAGAACTTCTCCTATCTTTTTTCTCAATTTTTTATTTTTTTAAATATTGAATATATTAAAGACTTTTCTACCCTTATATGAAGAATGTATAGTTCATAATTAATTGGGGTTTTTTTATAATTTTGTATACCCAAGTTTAACCTCCAACTCTTGATTTGCTCTTTCATTTACTTTCTTTTATTTCTTAATAAAATTTGTTTTTCCAAGTTTCAATAATAACAAAATGAAATCCTACAAATTCTTTTAGTGAAGGATGAAGAATGTGAGAGTTGAAGAAAAATTCAAAGATTTTAAAAGGTATGTAGAAATTATATATTAATTTAAAAATGTGATTTGTTATTACATATTTYTTTTTCAATATTGTTGGATTTGTTGTTATCATAGGATATGCTTGTGTTTACGATTGGATTAAATTCGAATAAAATTTTGATATTTTGTAATCACAAGATAACCTCCAACTATTGATTTGCTATTTCATTTACCTTTTATTTCTTAATGAAATTTGTTTTTCAGAGTTTCAATAATAAACAAAATGAAATCCTACAAATTCTTTTAGTGAGGGATGAAGAAGGTGAGAGTTAAAAAAGAATTCAAAGATTTTAAAAGGTGTATATATATATATATATATATATATATATCTATACTATATTATAAAGCATTTGGCTAAAACTCTTAAAAACTCTTAAACTCTTAAAACTCTTAAAGACAACATCTATTGCTAATGATACAATCTGTTAAAGCCATCCCTAAACTCGTTCATCCCTAAACGATTTCATCCCTATCCGATTTCATCCATATCTTATTTCATCAAATACAGGATAAACATCTCATTTTAAATATAAAAAATCTAAAATATAATTAGGATAATTATT